GATTCTCATTAAGATTTGGATAATGTTCAATAAACCACCGTTGATGCAATATCTGGTGGTGAAGGCATTCCCGCTGCTACAGTTGGAGTTGACGGTCCTAGTTCTGTTACAGTAAGAGCTGTTGCTGGAAGAACCAGTGCTAGTGACTAGACTGTTGGAGGAGGAACCGCTGTTAGAAATGTTCACGTAGAAGCTCCTCTTTCATCTGCTGGTATAGATGAAGCTCTTGGGATCTTATCCGCTTCGGAGGTTGAAGGAGGTTAATCTATAAGGGAATCAGCTGGTATTGAATCTTCCTCTATCCCTTTCTTTTCATTTCATGGACATCTGATATTCTTTTTTAAACAAGGATCTGACTCAATTCAATATCAATTATCAATAGAAACTTCACTTCTTTCTACCTGGCCACTTTAAAATCAAACTTTTTTTAGCTTTCATCTAGGCCTTTCAGGAAGGAAGTAAGGCACTCATCTCAGTCTCAGTGCCCAGAAGAAACTGCTGGTGTCAGGTTTTCGGGAATTGAATCCATAGTAGAACGACACCCACCAAAAGCTCGCCTGCCCTTGAATAAGCAGTAAGGCGTGGGCACGTTGGAGCGATCCCGCTTTGAAAGCTCAACCTCGGGAGAATCCGTTTCGCCGGTCCAGTGACTTGGCAGTGGTCGTAACGTAATTGCTTAGTGGGGGGGCCGGGATTCAAAGCATGATTTTCAATCTTCTACCCGGTAGACTGAACACCAACCCAATCGGTGGGGAAAGACGGTGGTGTCATTTAAATGAGCACAAAGCAATCAACCCAGAAAATGAAATCCCCTAGGCTGCATCTTTAAGACGCAACATAGATCATTGATATATGGCAATAGGTGAAGAAGTGTAAGGTGCCCGGAGTGACCTTTCAGGACGTAGCTAAAGCCTTCCATGCAGACCAGGTCTTAACCTAAAGAAAGCGTAGTAAGATAGACAATAGGCTATTAAGAGAACGATTGGCTAGGTCGTTTGGAACACTTCGTGTTTCCTCCCTTCCGGCTTCCACAGAAGGGACGTCATGCTTTATGTTTCGACAGGTAGCTAGCCCTATCCCAGGTTAAGAACAATGGGCAAGACTAGTTACAGCTTTGTAGAAGACTTACTATAAGTTTCCATCGATCGGCCTCCAACCGGAATTCCTTCATTACGGCGGCAGCAATTCGCTCCCTTTCGGGTTCTCTATCGAGAGAAGTAGCCAACTCGCTTCCTCTGCTGTACAAAGCATCTTGTTAGGACACAGTGTAAAACTTAGAATACAGTGCAGCTTTAACAATGTAGCTAGTATAAAGAAAGAAGTTGCAAGTACTACTCTTTCTCCCTCTCTCTTTATTCTCACCCGGCCTTCAATGCTCCCGCTAACACCCCCACATACTCTTTGCGATTCTATCTATCTCTTATGTAAGACTTTTTTAAGGATGCCTCAGTCGGAGGAGAGAGACTGACTAAGTCGATTCTAAGAAGCAAGAAGGCACTCCTAAGCGCAGAAAGCAGCTCCTTTCTCGAGGGTCAGGAGCGGAGGTCTAGGCCAGTCCTTTTGCTCTTACAGATGTCAGTCTTTTTTCTGTTAATGCGGTAGTCTCGGTCTTAGCTGCTGGACTGCTTTACTTAGAGCTTGAACGTGGAAATCTAGCTGACATTGAACTGGCTGCCACTGAGCCATTGAGCATTGAAAGTCAAGAGTGAACGAGATCTCCATCACACTTCCAATTCCAAGTGTTAAGCGTGGTAACCATTTGACTGAATCTAGCTCTACGGAGGTCAGTGCTGCTTTTCCTGTTGCAGATGCTAGTTTTTTTGTTGATGCAGTAGGAATTGTCTAATCAAAAGGCCTAACCACAGTATTAGAACATCATACAGGAATGGTTTGGAGCGAAGAAATAGGTTTTTTGGAAATCGGAAGGCACCCGAGGTATATGGTCCTGACTTACCAGTGCGAATGATAGGTGACCCAGAAAGACGGTAGGCATAGAGCTATGGGAATGCTGTCATAGGCTAGGGAGTTCAGTTCGAAAGGTGTTTCAATTCCCAGAAGAAGCTCTTTGCTTTTCATTTTCGTAGGCAGCAAGCGGCTAGAAGGAAGCGCAGGAACTGTAGGGATTAAGGGAGTTCCCCCGAGGGGTCAATAGGAATTGTCTCTACTCTATCACCTTAAGGTTAAGAAGCATGAGACTGAAGAAGTTAGGCATCCGTAGCAAAGGAAGCAGTCCCATGCCTTAGGGCCTTTTCTTCTCACTTTATCGATGGAAAGAATAGGCTTGGGCTCACCATCCAAGCTCCCTCCTAGAACGGCAATTGGGCTGCAGTTCTGCCTTTCCTTAGAAGAAATATTGTAGCGTAAGTTCAAAAGTAGAAGTCAGACAAGAGTTTACTAGGATTCCCGTTGATTGAATGTCTATCACACTTTAACATCCTAGGAAGTTTGAACTCTTGTTTCATACCATCTCTAATAAGTGCATTTCCCCTGAATCAAGAAATCCCAACATCTCTCGAGAAGAGGAATAAGACTTGATTTTTCATAACGTGGGCAATCCCTCAACACATAAAGCTCAGACTCCTAAAGACCGTCACAAAACTGACAACTGGGAGGCCAATTGTCGCTTGAATCTGTTGCCGTTAGTCAATAACCTGCCATGCACGACTAACCAAAGGAATGATCTGATCCGTTGAGGGCCATCCCATTTACAGACTAAGCGACAAAGCCTGTCCTCTGGAGTCAAAAAAGAAGTCGAGGTTCTGAAAGAAACAAATCAATCATGTCAGCTTAAGGTCAAATTTCTTATTTTCTTTTAATAAGATGATTGGGCCCTACAGTGGTATAACCGGGTGAACCTCTCTCCTATAGGCCACTCAAAGATAGAGAGATTAGGGACCGAATGGCCAGCCCTCCCTACTATATCTCAGTTTCTATCGGCCGGTGTCAGCCAAGGAAAGGGACCCTATGAGATGAGTTAGAAAACGAGGTCCCACTCCGACTAAAGGAAGTGGCTAGCCTTGGAAGTTTCTGGCAATGAAGCAGACAAGATAATATAAAGAAGATCCAATTCCGAGTCCCGAGATTCTTTCTTTTCGATTAGGACACGCAGCCACAACAGGGAAGCAGTCAGGAATGCAGCAGGAGTGGAAAGGGATAAGATGAGATTAGGGAAAGGAGCCGTTAGGCCACTCGATGAAAGGAAGAATAGCAGCTGCCAAAGCAAAGCAAAAGGCCAGGCATTGGACTAGTTGAATGAAACCTTATCCCATTATGGAGTGAGAACCTGAGATTCTTTTATCAAAAGACATGGCCTCCCCTAATGGACTTTGGAACAGATACACGAGCCACTATCTTAGATACCATCTTTCTTTTCAGGCCGAGTGAACGAAAGGATAAACGCAAGCTAAAAAACCAAACTTATAGCATTTAATGGTAGAAGAGTAGCCTACCAAAGAGTTTAGGTCAGGGATCAAAGGAGATTGATAGGTCGCACATTCGCTCAGTGAGGAGCGAGAAGAAAGAGTTCCCAGCCCGGCCATCATCTATGTCTTAGTTCGAACCATTATTAAGAGAAAGGAACTTGACTTTGGGAAAGATCAGTGACTAGACGGGCCATCATCTTGGAAGATAGGGGAGGGAAAGCCTTTCTTTTGTTCCATTCCAGGAGAAGAATGCCATGCCACTCAACCAGAGGCAGAGAAGCTGAATGGCAAGAAGCAGAGAAAAAGACAATGAAAAACAGAAGGATTCGAAGGATCTCCCTTAGCCCTTCAAGAAAGCTGGCACACACGGAAAGAGACAAGGATTGAACATTAGTACTGGATTATTGATCCCCTGATCTTGATATATGAATAGGACGGACGAAGTCAAAGACGAAGAGAGATCATAACAGGCACAAAAGGCCAATTAACAAAGCGAGAGTAGGGATCTCTTCTCTTCAGACGGGGAGGGCTCTTCCAGCACTCTTTCCAGCTAGAAGAAAGCAACCAACAAAGCCAGACAGCAATCAAGAGAGTGGGGCAGTCTCATCCCATGAAAGGTAAGGAAGGACTGCAGCTTTCCCGAGTGGAAGAGGTTCAATTCAATAGTTCCGACTCTGACTTTGAAGCCCGGCCGGGTGAAGAAGCCTCAGCCCGAGCTTTGACTATGACTACGAGCAGTTGGGATCACATTCGAGGAAGAAAGTCAGAATGTAAGAAAGTAATGCAGTCAAGCAGTTACGGTAGTGGAAATTTTCCCTATCCAGGCCGACAACAGGCTCGCTACCGAGACGAAATGCCACTCTTGGCAAAACGGCCCTCCCGCTAGGTAAAGGAATTGACTTGCTAACAGCCAAACAAGGGATTCGACTCTTAGAATATGTAACTTTCCTAGACTAGTTCCAGGGCAAGAAGGTAAGCTCCTTGCTAGGATGCTAAAGAGAATGCTGCTGCTGCTTTATGGAATTGATTAAAGCTTAACTCCTATTTGCACTCCTAAGCCAAGAAGGCAGTGAGCAAGGGGCCTAGCCATAAAGCCGTCAGTTGGAGATAGCGTGATGCGCCCAGTACTTGTTATAAGGGTAAGGGGAGAACTATAGAGGGGAGGAAAGATAAGTTCGTTTACTGCACCCCGGCCTGCATCTTCAGGGTTTTCTTAACCAAGAGCTAGCTTATGGATCAGATATCGATATTGGAAGATCAGGCCCATCACTTCTTCCTTCTTGACTTCGATGATTTGCCTGCAGGAGGATCATCGAAGGTTGGAGAAAGAGATAGAAAGCTGACTAGAGTAGGGGGTAGACCTAGTACTAGAGCTAGATCTATTTCATTATCAGTATGGGAAGGTTCTAAACCCGCTAGAGGAAGCGCGCTATCTAATCACTGGTACAGGTTCTAGAGTTTTCCCAGGTGAAAGAGTGACCCTGCCTGGTGCTATTTTAAGTAATCCTCTCGTTCTAGAGCTAAAGTAAGGAAGGTTTTAGAATAAGTCATCGAAGCCGGAGCTTAAAGGTTATGTTATAGAGTAGTTAGTAAGTCATTCCCAGGTAAGCAAGTAAGGCAGCCAAAGGGAAAGGACTTGAGAAAGGAAGTCCCATCTAGTGCTAGATCTATCGTAAGCCGGGTTTGAGAGTCAGCCAGTCCCACGGGATAGAGAATTTCATAAAAAGAGTCCGGTGCTAGTAAGCTATATTCTCTCGTTCTAGCATAAGTCAGTCCCCCGCTCTCAAGTAAGGAAGTTCAAAGCAAGGTTTTAGAAGTAAGCAAGGTTAGATGATAAGTCATTCCCTTAATTCCCTGGGGATATAATTTCATATACTAAGTAAGTTTTTACTAAGCCAACCTGCTAATCCCTAGATCTAGAGCTAGAGAAAGAAGAAGGTAGGGTTGGAAAAGTCAACTTCCTTATGGATTAGCTGGTTAAAGAGTGGATTAGAGGTTTGAGCGTGGAATTACTTATAATAGAACTAATAGAACGAGCACGAGGGTGACTTACTAACCTGGGATTTGAGGGTTAGCAAAAGGGAAGGGAATGACTTACTCTAGAAAGAGTGAACTGCCTTACCTTACGAGGGGTAGTGGATAAAAGCACTTTCTTCCCCTTCTTTCTTACTATACTGGAATCTCGTACAATCTATAATCAGGATTGGAACCTTTCTCAAGCTAAAGCGGGTATTTACTTCTCTTTCCAAATAGGAAAGTAAGAGTCTTTATTAAATAAACCATTAGTAAGGTGCGGAGCGGGAGCCCGGGAGAGGAATTAGATCCGCATACATAACATACTTTTTCGAAAGCTTCAGAAGTGGAAGTTACATAGAGTCTGGTGGTATCGTATATAAGAGGAAGGCTGCATTTAGGAGTGATCTTTCCCTCTTTCTAAAAGGAAGTTTTTGATTGCTATTTGTTTTCTTTTTTTATTCCTTTCCTAAACTACTTCCCGTTCAGTTGCTGAAAGAGAGAGATAAGCTTTCTAAATGAGATTGATTTCCACGAGTATGCAGGCTAGAAAGATGTTATTTGCTGCTATTCTATTTATTTGTGCATTAAGTTCAAAGAAGATCTTAATCTATAATGAAGAAATGATAGTAGCTTGTTGTTTTATAGGCTTTCTCATATTCAGTCGGAAGAGTTTAGGTAAGACTTTCAAAGTGACTCTCGACGGGAGAATTCAGGCTATTCAGGAAGAATTGCAGCAATTCCTCAATCCTAACGAAGTAGTTCTTCTGGAATCCAATGAACAACAACGATTACTTAGGATCAGCTTAAGAATTTGTGGCACCGTAGTAGAATCATTACCAATGGCACGCTGTACGCCTAAGTGCGAAAAGACAGTGCAAGCTTTGTTATGCCGAAACCTAAATCTTAAGTTAGCAACACTTCTAAATGCCACTTCTTCCCGTCGCATCCGTCTTCAGGACGATCTAGTCACAAAGTTTTACGTCTTAGTGAGTGCAGGATTTTCCCCCTACTGTCTGTTGAAAGCTAAAAAAGTAGAACTCATTCGAGAGGGCTTGGTGGTCTTAAGAAAGGTTCGGGTGGGGGGTTCTCTTAAGAATAAAGAGGATGAATAGAAGATAATTCATCTTCATGCTAACAGAAGAGCGGATCCAATACCAAGACGACTTCTTTCTCAGGAAGTGCAGCAAGTACTTGAGAATTTTTGGAATATCATGCCCCACGACACGAGTGAGTTGCCAAGTGCCCCCTAGGAGGGCAGTCTACCACAAGATCGAGTTGGAGCCTGGAGCCAAACCCCTTCTATTTAGACTGGGGCTAGGTTTAGCGGATGGCCCCCAACTAGCATCTATTAGTTAAGGAAGGGGATTGATTGAGCTCAGGAAAGAATTTCAGGAAGTCATTGAGACCTATTTAGAGTCCAGCCTCCAAGGCAGTTTTTCTCTATATTGCTGGGGAAAAGATTGGGGAGCCCCTGTTTTCTTCCAGAAGAAGCGGGAGCCTTGCCCATTGATTATCGGGCGCTCAACAAGGTAACCTAACCATCAAGAACAAGTATCCACTTTGATTGCAGACTTCTTCGCCCTAATCAAGAAGCGCGAGATACTTCTCGAAGTTGGATCTACAGTCGGGCTACTACCAGGTGCGTATCGCGGAAGGAGACGAGCCAAAGACGACCCGTGTGACAAGCAACCTACCTAGGGCGTTTGATCTGGTTATGCCTTTTGGACTCACCAATGCCCCTGCCATGTTCTGCATCCTCCACAATGAGCTATTACACCCGTACTTATACGACTGGTGGTATACTTTAATCGTGGGCTATAGCTATTCGTTAAACGACCACGTTAGCCACCTCCGGACCATTTTTAAGGTATTAAGGAAGAATCACCTCTATGTAAATAAAGAAAGAGAAATGACCCCTAAAAACAATGCTACATTCTTTGCTGCCTTCAACTGAGTAAGGGCGTCGAGCACTATCCCTTTCTCCTCGTCAAGCGCTTCAGTAAGTTCCGCCTCGATCATAGCTCTCTGCTCCGAGCTATGCACCATCTGCACTTCCCGTCGGTGTACACCGCCTCAAAGGTATCTGAGGAATGCTGCACAATCAGACTCATCTCTCTTAGTCCCTCTACAGCATCCGGGGCAGACGATGTTTCACTTAGAATCTGAGACAAATTCAATAGTTCCGGCTGAGAAGACCACCAAAGGGAATATCCAAGGTACACGCAGGGCAAGAGTATATTTACCATATCGGACAACGGATATCTTTTTCAACCTTCAGGCTCCAGACTGGACCAAATGGTTCCAGTATAATTCTGTGAGAACATGGCAAAAACCTCAAAAGGAATGGCTTAACTGGGCAGAGCGTATAGAGAGTGATGACAAGATTGTCGAGATTTTGAAGAATGTTGGCATCTACGAATGCATTCAATTTTCCAAGCAAAATATCCCCGCTCGATGATCGCTGTAGCCCTTTGCTTCTTGAGCACATCTACGAACACCTTTGACTTCGGCTTTGGGTTGATTCCATTCCTTCGGTCATGGACGTGTCCTTGTTAACTAGCTTGCCATTCTACGGACTGGATGTGACTGTGGATATGTTGACTACTTGGAGTGATGTGAAATTTAATGCAGATAATACACATATCTCTTTCGGCTCCTGCGCTCGTAGCGAGATGGGGAAAGGTGAGATAACAGGTCAGGAGCATTGTGCCTTTCTTCTTCACTTTCTTAGTCATCATCTTCTTTGTAATCCAAAAAGTATGATGTCTAAGGAATATGGCCATATTGCCATAGCTTTGGCCTCAGGCCGTATCTTAGCTCTCCCCCTTTTGTCCTTTATCACCTTTACAGAAGCATCGTGACCAAAAACCTTTCAAATCTTTCTTCTATTCCTCCAACTCCTCTTAGTCCGCCTACTACTATTATCCCTTCTCTTCGCTCAATTCCATCGACCCTGCTCCTCTGGCCAGGAAAGGAATCTTTGCCAAAAGCGGCTACGACTACGAGAGCAGTCAGCCTTATAACTTTAACACCGGTTACGTTCTTCTTGTCTTTTGCAGCGGTTAGGAATTCAATAGCAGTTGATTCAATTGCTAGTCTGACAACGGCTTATTCTTGAACAAGAACCATGGCATTCTCTGCCTACTCTTA